GTCACCTCATTTAATTTATATATACATAGTATATAAATGGCTACACAACATTCTTTACCTACATTATTAACACAAGTTTAGGTTTTACTACTATGTGAAGGTTTATTAAAATGTACCCATCATTTCCTCAAAATAGATCTTTGTTATTACGTGAAAAAAAAGTTGTAAGTTTGTGTAATTCGAATACCAAGCATTCAAAACGAATGTGTGGAATGAATGGTTTTACACTGGCTAAGTCAGCCTTGATCTTTTTTGCTCTTAGTAGAAAAGCCCACTAAACAAAACAGAACTCTGGGGATCAAGTCGTAAGAGTGATTGGTTAAATAACATTTCTAAAGCAACCCAAGTTTCATATACTATATGGGTTAAAGGAGGTCACCTGTACCAAGTACGGGTTGAAGGATCAGGATGGATTGGATCATTTTACCCAAAATGAAAAGTGTTTGTGGGCAACAGCTCCACTATTGATACACATACCAGAAGTTTCTGTATCTACCCAGTCCCAGTTTTTACTGACAAGCCCTTTTCCACAGGTTCCCTGCCAATGAGGTTTTCCCAGCAAAAGAAGTTTGACATCACTGCTCTCAGACGGGAGAAACGGAGCTCTCCTCAGTTTGGTCCGGGAAGGACCTTGAAGTTTGGGCCTATCAGCAGAACCTGTCTCCCTGGAGCCTGGCACAGACCAAACACCAATGGTACCAAAGGCTCCGTGCCTGGCAGGCAGGAGGCAGGTCCAGGGGAAGGAAGAGGGGCCTCCACCTTTCTGGAGTGAAACAATGAAAACATACCTTGCTGTACAGCAGTCTGCTTCCATGAAAATTACAGCCAAGGAAACCCTAAGGGACAATTGTACTCTGTCAATATGGGGCTGCTATGAGTCAGAACAACAAAACCCAAACCCATTGCCACTGAGTCAATTCCAGCTCCTAGCAACCCTGTAAGATGGAGTAGAACCACTCCATATGGTTTCCCAGGCTGCATATTTTTCTCCCACAGAGTGGCTGGTGAGTTTGAACCACATACCTTTTGGTTAGCAGCCACCAAGGGCTTCTTTTCAACAACAAAAACATCCTATAATGCCCATTTTAAAAAAGGCCAGAAGACATGGCCATGCCACCTGAAGCATGCAGAACCACCTCCTCCTTGTATCAGGTAGCTCAAAACCTTTCTCCTCCTTCATACAATGAACTCACCCAGCATGCCCTCTGCTATGTCTTCTGACCCACAGCCTGCCAGGGAGCAGATAGGTTTTTATCACCATTTAGATAAGAACAGTAAGGCCAGAGGGGCAATGACCGACCACTGTCATACAGGACTGGGCGAAAGAGCCAAGCCTGCCTTCTGGTCTTCTGACCAGGGACCTGCATGTGTCTTCTCATCTCATTGCTCAAAGGCACATCTACTCTTTCTCCTTCTGCCATCATCAACACAGATAGTGCCCAGGTAGAGTTTTCCTGCACTCATGCAGGACTCTGTGTAGGAGCGTGTGGAATGTAAGCAACATCAGAGCAGGGATTTGCCATGGCTGGTTGCCAGACCCTCCCATCCCTGCTTGGATTTACTTGCGCTGCCCTGTGTAAACAGCAGGTTCTCTGAAGGCCACCTGTCTTGCACGTTACAATGAATGCTGAGTTCTTCAAGCAACAACAAACACCAGCCCTGCCTAAAGGTTCAGCGTGCAGCCCCACCGGCCAAGGGGCAGCTGTCTTCTAGCAGACAGAGAGCCCCAGCTCTGCTTCCCACCTGACCTCTACTTCCTGGGCCCCACAAGGCCTTGCTGCTGACTGTGGTCTCTAATTCTGAGCAGTGCTGACCACCAAAGTGCCACACTCTCGTAGATCCAAATGACAGGGGCGCCCTGGAGGCTCAGTGCAATCTACTCCCTCACTCTATTGACTACAACTAAAAGTGGCTCTACAGTTCCCTACAGACTCCAGCTTCAGCCTCTGTCCCCAGGGCTGGAGTGTGAAACAAAAGAGGAGAAGCAGAGACCTGGAGAGCAGGGGTACCTAGGAAAGAAAGGAAGAGCTCAACTAAAAATGATTAAATGTTTCCATTCAGCACTTCTCCAGACATCCTTCTCCCACCTCTTAAAGAGCTTTAAAATGTTGAGCCTTGATTCAAGAGGCATTTGAGCAGAGTTCCTAAGTAACAGAGGTGCATACCGGAGAAGCAAACCCAGCAGCCTGTGGTCACATTCCCCCCTCTGCAGACCGTGAGCTGTAGCACTGATAGGGACCACCACCTCACAAGTGCCCCAGTGGTCTCCACCCAGGAAAAGGACATGCAGGAATGGTCCTCATCACAGCAAGGCTAGCCTAGGGAAAAGAAAGCCAGGTTCTACATGTTTCCTTCATGAGGATACACGGGGAAGGGGAAACCCTTTGGGCTCGGGCCCCTGGTTGGGAAAGCTGGCCCAAGGCACTGAGCCATATCCCCTGATATAGTAAACAAAATATAACACTCGATGCTCAATTACCTTGCAGCATCTGCTACCAGAAGGCACTTTTAAGATTTTGTGTTCAACATTTTTTCATCTAGTCCCAGATCTAGACCTGTGAGGTCAGCTGGGCAGGTAGTACTGAAAAATCACAAGTGCTACAACAGCAGGGAGACCATGGTGGAGGGAGGGTCACTCCAGAGATTCGCAGCCAACTTTCCAGCATCAAGGATCACACAGAGGACTACCTCCGAGCCCACACCAAGTCAACTTGGAGACTGGGATTTCCCTTGGACTAAGTCTTCAAAACTTTCCTGTCATCAGTCTCTTCCATACCTTAGCTGAGGCTTCTTTTTAGCTGGATTTAGGTTAAACGATGTGTTTGTGGTCATCATTTTGTACTATTTTTCTAGTGCATATTTTCCCTTTTACAAAAGTGAATCAATCTCAAATCCCATACTGACGTTAAATGGCTAAAAGCACACTCAGCCACATGTGGGTCACATCTCCCAGCGGGCAGGAAGCACGCAGCAGGAGGGACTCATCTTCAAGTCCGGTCCTTTACTGCTTGCTGAGTGTGGATGGGAAGGTCAGGCTTCAGAGCATCTGGGATTACATGCCCACCCAGTAAAATTAACACCACAAGGGCCTGAAAAGAAAACGATTCATTTGAGAGCTGTTTTGATAAAGCTTTTCAAGCATTTTGTTGCTGTTTTTTTTGGTTTTGGTTTTTGTGTGTGTGTGTGCTTCCAACCTTTAGGGTTTTTTCTCCCTCCTCAGCTTCTCATTCTAATTTCCCACCTCTTCAAAATTACCTCCGAGGGCCTTCAGATTCACCTGCTGCAGAAATCATGCAAGTGTGAAATCAACGGCAAGACAGCTCTGATGTTCTATATCTGAGGCTGCTGCCAACATAATTTTCATATCCAGATACCTCATGGGTGATTAAAAATAGAAAATTCTGTTATTAAAAAATGAAATCACTATGGCAACATTTTCCTAACACAGTTCCCAGGCATATAAACTTATTTTTCTTAAAGTAATAGCATGACAGCTCAGTAGTAATACACCACCAGTAATAACCAAGAACAACTAAATTCCCTGAAGCTATATTCTTGCTTTCCCCACCTACACAGTATCCCTTACATTGATTTTCAACTTTAAAAACTATTGAAATAGGATTTTTAAATTATTTATCAAGACCACATAATTCAACTCCAAATATTCCATGCAATAGGGGTTGAGCTATTCAGATTCCAGACGTCCATCAAGAATGATCCAAAGGGAAAATTCCTGAAATGGCCTCTGTAGTACTGGACGACCTAGGTTGAAATTTCTGGAGACCTCAGGGATCTTATTCAGATTCATCTTTTAGACGGCTATGATCAATTTTTTGACAGTGAAAGAAAGTAATTTTCTACAGCACAAGGCTAATGATATTGTTATAAAATGAGGGGGGGTGGAATTGACATCGACTTAATGCTTGCTTGTAAGAAAATGAAGCTCTTGATCTAATAAGATTATTGGGAAAGATTGGGTATAGAGGAATAATAAATTTGGGAGGCCCTCTGTGTACAAGGACTGGGGTCAAGTACCGTCATCATTAAGAAGGGAGGCAATCAGCTACTATTTAAAAGGCTGATGTCAGCAGCCTCTCTGCTGTCTAGAATGCGCCACTGAATCTGTGCTACTGATCTATTCTAGTTTGTGGCCAACTGCAAGGAATCTGGAAACTCATTTCTGCTCCACTTGTAAGTTTATGACCCCAGTAATACTGGTTACTCAATTAATTTTAAAAAATTCAGATATACCCTGCAAATAAATACCAAACATTTCTGTACTCACTATCTTTAATATACATTCCCATCACCATAAAAGGCTGTATATAAATTAAAAAACTTTTTTAACCATTTTCTCAGCTTAAGTTTGTTCTCACCCTCAATGAAGAATAGTTCAATTGATATCCAAAATATATTTAAATATTCCAAAGATATCATATCAAACCTAAGTTACCAACAAATGTAAACAAAATTTACCTAGCTTACATTTATGAACATTATTTTTAACTTTTTAAGTCACCCTGTACTAACCCTCTTAAGAAAACTAACTGGACACATTTAGATTAGAAAGCTGATTTGGATTTTAAAGTGGACCCTGTGTATCTATTTATGGTGGGGAGAGGGATGATGGGACAACTGCCAATTACCAAAACTAGTGTAACTGAATCTAGTGGTTTATTGCATCATTTAATCTAAAAGTCCAAAATAACCCCTTCTGATCTTGCAGTGATGCTCTTTCCAAAGGGCCCCAGATGCTGCTGTCCTGAGCCATGTGCTGAGCCGAGGATCCTGCAGGAACCCTCAGCACAGAACCAGGGCTGTTATCAAGGGACCTCCGCATGCCTTCAACTGCACCAGTGAGAAATCCCAAATCCTCGGCTTATCAGTCCAGTTTGGTTGAAAGGAACTTCAAGGATGGAAACATGAAGTCAAGAAGCAAGAAGGGAAGTAGACTGATCCTCAAAATCCAAGGGTCCATTCCTCCCATGGCAGCGTCATCCTCACACTCCACAGTCAGACTGCTTCTCCTGAAGCTGCCTTGTCAGTATCTGATGTGAAGACAGAAAAGCTACTCCTATGTGGAAAAGGATTTGCCAGAGGTTCCTCAGCCCGTGCAGGTACATGTTTCCCAGGCAAATAAAAAGCAGCATCAGCACCACCTTCACAGTCCTGGCTGGGCTGTAGAACAGGTACAAATAACACTGAAAGGACACCACAACAGATCTGATCAGAGGCAGTGCAATGGACACCAGGTCAGAATCAAGACTCACCTCCCAATGTACTACCCACAGTGTCACTCTCTGCACACATAAGCTTATTGAAGAGCACTCTTAAGGTGATGCTTGGGCCCACTGGAGAGGTTACTAGTCACTGGACAAGAGACAACTGGGGATTTGGAAGACAGAAGGAAAGTGAAATGGATGTCACAGAGGAACTGGTACCTGGCATTCCTGAAAGAAATTTAATAATTTAATAGGGGTGTGGAAAAAGAAGAGATGTAGGTGAGAGGCAGACACCCAGACCAGGATCCCAAACAAGACTGATTAGCCTCCAAATAAAGCATTCCCTCAGGAAGCCGTAGAGTGGGAGAAACTCTAGCCATGACAGGCAAGAAAGCTGGGGAGAGGGAGCTGAGGGGAAGCAGTGCTTTTACTATTTTGGTTTTTCCTCAGCCACAACTACACTGAGTGCCACTCTTCCCCAGATACCCTCCTTAGGGCCTCTTCAAAAGCTTCTCTGAGTCAGGAAAAGGCCTCACAGCAGGGAGAGTGACCTGTATTTTGTGTAGGGCCCTTCTGGCTACCACTGTCAACCACCTGGGAAGGGATCAAAATAGGAGATCCTGGATAGAGTAGGAAAAAAATGTGGAGTAAAACTCAAACTCACAAAAAAGATCAGGCTTACTGGTCTGATAGAGACTAGTGAAACCCCTGAGACTAATAAGGCCCCTAGTCACCCTTCAGGCCTGGAATTGAACTCACTCCCCTGGCTTCCAACCAAACAGACAGGCATATAAGGTGAACATTTACACCAGGTAGTACACGTCTTAAAATGATCAACCATGGGAGATCAGAAAGGTAGTATTTGTACAGGGAAATAGCTCAGAGGGCAGGAATGCATAGGAAGGAAGGACAGAGGCAAAAGGTAACCACAGAAGAATTGGGAAGAAAGCTGTTGCATTATGGGCATTGCAGTCAATGTCATGAAACAAAATGTGTATGAACTGTTGTATGGAAAATGAATTTGCTCTTTAAACTTTCATCCAAATCACAATTAAAAAAAAAAAAAAAAAAAAAGACGGGAGGGCCCTGACGATCCAACAGTTAAACGCTGTTGTCAACCAAAAGGTTGGCAGTTCAAACCCACCCAGCAACCCCATGGGAGAAAGCCCTGGTGATCTGTTCCTATAAAGATTACAGCCTAGAAAACCCTATGGGGTAGTTTTACTCTGTCACATGGGGTCACTTTGATTCAGCTTTGACTCGACAGCACCTAACAACAGCAAAAAACACCACCACATAGAAAAGGGGCTATTCTTTTTCTACAAAAGGTAGAGATAGTTTTGTTTCAATGTATTAAAAAAATGTATAAAAAAATAAATACACATATATTCTCAAACACAAGAAATCTGACAAAAGCTCAAGGTATAGTGGGAAGGAGAGTTCCCCAACAAAGGAGCCATCCATGTAGGAATATAGCTGAAGGTATGAAGGAGGAATGGTAAGATTCCCGCAGCTCTGAAAGGCCTACAGTGCAGGCTCAAGGGAACTTCCACTAGCAATGCCCAAGGTTTGGGGGCCCTGTTTTCTGAAAAATTAGTGCATTTTCAATCTTTGGGTGAAAATTTCTCTTTTTGCACAATCATACAATTCTTAAAAATAAATTGTTCTAGGACATACAATTGATCCTAATTATTTGGGGGTTCCATATCTGCAAATTTACCTACTCACTAAAATTTATTTGTAAGCCCCAAATCAATACTCATGTACCTTTTGGGGTCATTTGCAGACATACGCAGAGTGGCAATGAATTTGAGTTGCCCAACCCACAAATTCTCAGCTGAGGTTGAACAAGGAGACGCTGTACCTTCTTGTTTCAGCTCTTACAAACATGTGTCCTTTTGCAGTGTTATTTAGTGCCATATTTTTTGCATTTCTGTGGTTTTAGTTGGTAATTTCACTGTTTAAAATGTGTCCCAAGCATTGTCCAGAAATGCTGTCTAATGTTCTTAAGCACAAGAAAGCTGAGATGTAACTTTGACCCACATCAAAATAAAATTAATATATATTTTTAAAAGAAGAAGAAGAATGCTAAGATGTGCCTTATGGAGAAAATACATGGGTTATACAAACTTTGTTCAGACATGAGTTACAGTGCTGTTGGCTGTGAGTTCAATGTTAATGGATCAATGATATATAATAAGCCAAAAACCAACCAAACCTGTTGCAACTGAATTAATTCCTACTCATGGCAACCTCATGTGTTACAGACTACAACCACTCCATGGGGTTTTCTTAGCTGTAATCTTTAGGGAACACTGCAGGCCTTTCTTCCTCAGTGCTCCTGGGGGGTTTAAACTGCCAATCTTTAGTTTAATAGACAAGTGCACACTGTTTGCCCCATCCGGAGACCTCATATAATAAATAAGGGATGTTTAAACAGAAACACACACAAAAATTAGATCATGTATTGATCAGCTGATGAAAATGTGACTAGAGGCTCCCAGGAACTTAACCCTGTATTTTCCTAGGAGTAATAGTTCAGTATTAGCTAATTCTGTGTCTGTAGCAACTTTATAGAACATAACAACTGCAAATAACAAGAATCAATTATAAGTGCAAGAGAATGGCAGTGCCCTGAGAACAGGAATTAAGAAAAAAGTAAAAACAAACTTAAGCATGCAGAGAAAGTATTAACATCCCAGCCCATGTGGAGGATTAGGAAAGAGAATTAGAGTCAGGTTTGTATTAGAATTAATTCTGCCTAAAGGGTAATCAAAAGATTCTTTCTACCCCACCTCTTAAGTACACAGCTTATTTGAAAAATGACTAAATAATAATCAACGTTTTCTAGTTAATGTTCTAATTTTTGTGTCATTTCCTAAGAACAGATTTGAGTCAGATGGTGTCGCTATAAAGACAGCAACTTTTCCATATGACCTATCCCATGTTTAAACAATCACATATGCATAGATGTTACCTCTGCAGAAGGACATTTCTGTAATTGGACTCCCTGGCAACAGGCAGTGCCTCACACTGCTCAGGCCCAGCCCAATCCCCACTGCAGTCCCAACCCACTTTTCTTGTGAGTCAAAACCAAGTTCCTGATTTCTGTTTGGCTGCTGCCAATGGCCCTGTGACACTGGGTCAGTGGTTTTCCTTTTCTGAGCTCAAAAGCTCCTCCTTTGGAAAATGAGGTGGACCTAAGGCCCTTCTACTAAGGGCTTGATACTTAAGAGCTTGATACTGTCCATGATTTGACCCCAGACTTTGGAGGAACAAAAAACCATCCAGAAACTTGCTGATGCTTCCAACAGAAAAACTCACCACAGGATCAATGTTTTACCCACCTGGAAAATGCAGGCTACAAAAGGAATAAGAAAAGCGAGAATGTTTCCAATTTCTTCCTGGGCAATCTAAAATAGGTATGAAGAAGACAGGAAAGGGTATTTAGATGAACAGAAACACCATAACATGAAGAACTTTACTCCTTATTAGGTCTGGTATAGTTGACAGCACCAAAATCTCTGGCTGGGTGAGTCCCTTTTATATGCCAGATCAGGGACTGAAAAGCACCCATTTTCAATGGTCTGGACACACCGTGTCCTTTCCTGTCTCCATGCTTCTGCACTAAGCCCTCAATCCCACCACTTCTCAAAATGCTACTCATCTTTCAATATTAAGCTTACCTTAACCCCCGCCTCCCAACACCACCAGGCACTGACCCTTCCTTAGCACGGTTACCATGTTCCGCTTTGTGCCACAAGAGCCCCTGAAGCAGCAAGTATGTCTTAGCCATATTGTTGGCCAACTACTTGTTCTAGTGGGTACAAATGGACACTTGGTAGGTATCTGGTTAAGGAGCTAATGAATGGTTGAAAACTGTGAGTAGAAACCACACTACACATGGCCAGAGACGGGATGTGGTAACAGTGGTTACCGTGCTTAAAGCACAGACCAGTGGCCATTTCCATTTGCACACAGGTCAGTCTACATTAGCCCCCTGAGATTCACCATCAGCCATATTGTGGACGTAAGCCACTACATATGGTACTATGGTTCTATCTTTCAAAGTACCATCTATCTGTTTATGTTTATAATGGTTCTGTGCTCTTTAAAGTGCTTGAAATACTTCAAAGTTTTAATAAACTGTTTTTTAAAAAGAATTGAAATGGAAAGTTGCTCTGAGATGAGCAGGCCAGGAAATAAACTTCTCATGATACACTTCTTTGATAAGGACACAGTGAGTATTTATATTGCATGTATTATATAACATACTGCAAATATATTTGATCTACATATATATCTACATGACGTTAAGTCAGATCGTTAGACAACTTTTTCCCAGGAAAAGGAAAAAAGCCTGAATCTTAAAGTCTGAGAATCAACGTGGGTGAGCAATTCAGCCCCTGGAGTGAGTCCTAGAATCCCGAGGGCCCTGGAGTGGTCTGACCCAAGCAGCCCCCTCTGTCTACTTAGGACAAAGGACACAAAAGAGCTATTTCCACATTTGTTCAATTCACTACAAGGATTAAAATTAAAAATACAAATTTTATTTGAATTTTTAAAATTTGGAAACTTTGATGAATAAAATGTATCCTATTTAACTTCTTCTATCACAAGGCCTTCAATTTAAATTGTCAAGATGAGGGTACCTCCAAGGAATGTTCTGCAAGGTGAATCCCACGGATGAGGTTCAGCGCAGCACACATGATGTTGAGAATCAGGGAGAGCATACCCAGAGCTGTCACTGGCTCCATCCGGAAATGAGGAGCTTCACAATTAAAAACAAGAAAGAAAAAGGTGTCTAGTGTAAATAATTTCTAGATGAAAGACTCCCACTAATAATAGGTTCATTATGTTAAACACAGAATGACAAACATATTAATTGGAAAAGGAGTAGAAGTTAAGTGGGGGAGGAAAAAAGCAAGAAATGAAGGACAGAATGGATCTGGGAACCCGAGGTTGAATTTCTTCCATAAATAAGCACCCCCTCTCTGGGCAAGCACAGATTTTAAGTGCTTAATTTCCTTTCTGTATAAAGAAGTAGTTCTCAGTCAGAGGCAATTTGGTGTCCTAGGGAATATCAGGCAATAGCAGGAGGCATTTTGGGTTGTCACAAGTGGGGAGTAAGGGTGCTACTGGCATCTGGAGGGTAGAAACCAGGGATGCAACTACACATCCTACAGTGCACAGGAAAGTGCTCCCACAAGAGAGAATCATCTGGCCCAAACGTCAATAGGGCTGAGGCTGAGAAATTCTGGTTCCAAATAATTTCTTATGCCACCAGAGAGAACTGTGGCTTTATGTGTAAATGGACTGTCAAATTCTGAAAGTACATCCATCTACATATCTCAACCTCAGCTTGTAAAACGCTCCACTCTTTTTCTGACAAGGACAACGTTCAATGTCACGTGTGCTTCTAGAGCAAAGTTGTGGCAAATGCAATTTCTTAGATTCTAAAATAATTTGGAAAAGGAGTGAACCATTGATTATTTAAGCTACAAGTTGTTTCTAGAACTATAATTACAACAAATGATCATTTTCTCTTCAAACGTAATTCATGAAATTGATTCTGGGTCACATTTTCCTGCTATGCTCTTCTTAAATCATCCTTTCTTGTCCTTACATTTCACACACATACAAATACCCAGCCACAATCCAGCTCAGATGCCTACTGTTAGTGTGTTAGAGTTTCTACTGCATAATCCAAAATTCCCATTAGAACAGAACATGCTACCTGTAAAAAGTCTAGCCTCAGGACAATAGGGTGAGTTAAACCACAGTAAGATGTCCTATACAGATGGGCAAGTTGACACTTTCTGGATTTTTTTCTCTTGTCTAAGTATTTGAAAAACAAAACATACAATACAAAGTTATCCCTATCTTTATATATGACAAGGGAGAAGCTTCATGCTCATTTACTCAATCTTCCTTCCACGAAAGTTAAGTTTACTCCCAACATAAATTAGAACAACTTATTGATCTACTAGTATGAGAGCCAACACAGGAATTCACTAGTTGAAACAGATTAAATAAAAATATAAAACTAAGCCAAAAACATTAACATTTTTAACACATCACTTTTAAACACCCTAACAATTTGTTTAATATAAACAGTTAAAACAAAATAATTAGACTACACAATAGTGTAGAAGGAGCCCTTGTGGTGCAGTAGTTAAGCAAGCCAGACAGTAACCAAAAGGTCAGCTGTTGGAACCCACCAGCTACTCCCCAGGAGAAAGATGTGGCAGTCTTCTATAAAGATTACAGCCTTGGAAACCCTATGAGGTAGTTCTATTCTCTCATAGGGTTGGTATGAGTTGGAATGCTGTAGACAGGATTTAGCTCTTACACCATTTCAGAATGCTTAGACTATAAATATCCACTATTATTGGTTTAATTGTGTAAACGGGGAATGCAAAAAAGATTATGCTTCAGTATGTGCTAGGCAACTGAGTGGCTAATGGTGTTAATGCCAGACTAAGTCACAGAAAGCCACAGCACTCTGATCATGTCCATTAACACCTCCTTCTTGAAATGAGGACTCTGAAATCCACAGGGATGGAGGAAGGTCCTTAGACAGTGAGAGCCCTAGAAGCCCAGGCTTTAGGCCTTACCCAAACACTCTCACCCTATAGCCTCCCTCCAACAAGGAGGGTGAGGTGTCTCAGTGGAGATCTGGGCTGAGAAACTGCAGTGGTTCACTAAGTGATGTGATAAGGATTCACTGTCAAAGAAAAAACTATATAAAGAATGCCCAGTCTGTACAGTTTAATAAGTGACTTCCAGCAAAAGAGAATGGATCTCCTTTATAACATTTAAATTTGCAAAGCTCCATTCTGGTGGAGTTATTGGCAGAAAACAACCTGCCAATAACTCTTCATCTCCTGAATTTCATCCTAAGAGCAGCTTCCCTGTAGACCAACCCACTGACATAATGCTGCTAGTCAAGTGTTTTATAACCACCCCCCAGAAACAGGATCACTTCATATTTTCTCCCACATATTGTATATACACCATGTCTTAGTTCTCTAGTGCTGCTGTAACAGAAATACCACAAGTTGATGGCTTTAACAAACAGAAATTTATTTCCTCACAGTTTAGAAGGCTAGACGTCTGAACTCAGGGTGCCAGCTCTAGGGGAAGACTTTCTCTTTCTCTGTCAGCTCACAGTTTAAGAAGAAGGTTCTTGTCTCCTTTCAGGATCTGTGACCCAGCGTTCCTTGGAGATCTCCATCTGTCTTGGCATCAATCTTTCCCTGGTCGAGGAGGTTCCTAGAGCAAGGAGCCCAGATGCAAATGACACCCTCCACTCCTGGCTCTTCTTTCTTGAGGGTACTGAGATTCCTTCTTCTCTGCTCATTCTCTCTCCTTTTATCTCTTGTAAGATAGAAGGTAATACAAACCACACCCCAGGCAAACTCATCAGGGCTGTAACCTAAGTGTAGTGACTTAAGTGAAGGTGATGCATCCCACCCTAATCTTGCCTCATTAGCATAACAAACATAACCTAATCCACTTTAACATAATTTAATTCTGTCTAATTAACCAAACGCAGAGGTTAAGGTTTACAACGTATCACAAAATAGAGGATAATTATTACATCAGATCAAAAAATGGAGGACAATCACAAAATACTGAGAATCATAGCCTCCCTTACTTTACACATTTTTTGAGGTTATAACTAGATCCATGACATTCCACTCTTTAGCCCAAAATTCATGACCTTCCCACGTGTACAGTATTTTCACCACATCATATCATTCCAGAGTCTTAAGTCACCTCCAAGTCCAAATTCCATCCTGGAGCAAAATTCTTCATCTGTGAATCTGTGAGATCTAGAATACAAGTTACCTGCTTCCAAGGTACAATGGTGACCAAGCATTAGGTAAACATTGCAATTACAAATGGGAGAAACTGGAGAGAGAGAAGGATAACACGCACCAAGCAAGTCAAAAACCTTGGAGAACAATATACACTAAAAGGAACTCTGGTGATGTAGTAGATAAGACATTTGGATGGTGACCAGGTCAGTGGTTCAAATCTACCAGTGGTTCCTGGGGAGGAAGATGAGGCAATCTACTTCTGTAAAGATGTACAGCCTTGGAAATCCAATGGGGTCACTATGAGTCAAAATCAACTCAAAGGCAGTGGGTTTGGTTTTTTTGTCTCAAGGCTTGAAAAACAATCCTCTGTTCTCTGAGGCCATCTAAGCAGTGGCTTTGTCTTCCAGACTTTGGGTGTTGGCCATGCTCTCTGGATTCTGGATGGAGGTCTCCGGCCTGGGCCTCAGCTCCACTTTTCAAGCCCACTCGGATGGCGACTCTGCTCCTTTGGCTTTAGGTGGACTGAGTCTCGTAGTCCAACTAAGTGGCAATGCCACCCCCTCAACTCAGGTAGCCCTGGTTCTTCTGTCCCTTGAGTAGGGCAGTCTCACTCCCTCAGCTTTCTGCAGCAGCTCTGGGTCCATGCCCCTGGGATTTGTGAATGGCAACCCCACACTCTGGAATGGAGTTGGTAAAGATCTGACTCTTTGAAACCTAGGAAACTATGGTCCCACCCTTTGAAACCCAGGAGGCTTTAAGACCCAGAGGCCATGACCCTGCCCTTTGAAACTGAGGTAGCTATAATTCCTGTGCTCCTTGTTTCCTCATCTTCTGCTTCCTGTTTCCTTGGCCTCTCAGCCCCTCAGGCTGGCCAAGTCTCTGCCCTGCTCAGGCAAGCGCTATAAAGCCCTTTAGCTCTATCATTAAGTGCCTGGAGAAACCCCATTCCACCAGTAAGCCTTGGCCCACAGGCACGCAGCTCTCTCACCCTGTACATCAGCAAGCCTAGCTCTGATGACAAGTACCTGGAGAAACCCTACTCTTCCAGGAAGCCTCCTATCCAGAGGCATTCAGCTCTCTTCCTCCATGGGTCAGCTCCTGCGCTGGTCTCCTAGTTCTGCTGCTGGCATTTCTCTGCCGATGCTTCTTGATGTCTGTGCCATCTCCAGTGTTAACATCTCTCCTCACCTCCCTCTGAGCCCTTACCAGAACTGCCTTTGACATCCATAATTCCACCAACAGTCTCTTCAAGGCAATTCTAGGCTTTTACTATTATGCACCTTAAAACTCTTCCAGCCTCTACCCATTACTTAATCCCAAAATCGCTTCTGCATTTTAGGTATCTGTTGCAGCAGCACCCCACCCTTGGTATGAAATTTTGTCTTATTTATCCAGTGTTGCTATAACAGAAATACCACAAGGGGATGGCTTTAACAAATAGAAATTTGTTTTTTCTCAGTTTAGGAGACTTGTAAGTCTGAATTCAGGGCATCAGCTCTAGGGGAATGCTTTCTCTGCCTGTTGGCTCACAGTTGAAATCTCCATGCGTCCCAACATCAATCTTCTCCTGGGTCTAGGGAGCTCTTAGCTCAGGGATACCCATCTCCCAGTTCTTCTTTCTTGGTGGTACTGAGATCCCTACTTCTCTGCTCAGTTCTCTCTCCTTTTATCTCTTGTTATATAAAAGGTGATGCAGGTCACACCCCAGGAAAACTCCCCTTATATTGAATCAGGGCTGTAACCTGAGTAAGGATTGTAACTTAAGTAAGAATGATACATCCCACCCTAATCCTACCTCATTAACATAATAAACAGAACCTAATACTTTTTAGCACAATCCATTCCTACCTCATTAACCACAGGCAGAGGTTAGGGTTTACAACACATCACAAAATGGAGGATAATTACATCAGATCATAACATGGAGCGCAATCACAAAATACTGGGAATCATGTCCTGCCCAAGTTAACACATATTTTTTGGGCACACAATTTTGTCCATGACACACCATATATTCCATCCCCCAAAACAATAGCCTTTCTAGTAAAATTCAATGGCCATTTGAAATGCATACCACCACCTCATTTTCATCAACATCAGAGAGCAGCAGGTGACTTACCAGGCTCTAAATGCACCTGTGTGTGACCATTCATTATCCCATTTGCCACATCTGTGTCTTCCAGTGTGAGAACTACTGGAGGCTGGAATTCGAGTTCCTCCTGAATTTTTTCCAAGCTGTTCTCCATCTGCGAGGATTTTACATAGTTAAATTCCCACTTCACCTTCTGAATGACGCTGTCTGTAAAAACAGAGCAACTCAAGTTGAGCATTCTCATCAAAATAAAAAAAAAAGGAAACCAAACCAAACTCACTGCCATCGAGTTAATTCTGACTCATAACGATCCACTTTGGGTTTCCAAGGTGGTAAATCTTTATGGAAGTAGACTGCCCAGTCTTCCTTCTGTGGAGTGTCTGGTGGGTTTGAACCACCAACCTTCTGGTTAGCAGTCAAATGCCTTAGTCACTACACCATGAGAGCTCCTTTTCATCAGAATAGGTGTTATAATTCAACCCCAAAACCACACCCAGTGCCATCGAAGTAGATTCTGACTCATAGCAACCCTTTAAGACAGAGTAGAACTGCCCCATAGGGTTTCCAAGGCTGTTAATCTTTATGGAAACAGACTGCCTCATCTTTCTCCCATGGAGCAGCTGGTGGATTCAAACTGCTGAGCTTTTGGTTAACAGTCAAATGCTTTAACCACTGTGCCACTAGGGCTCCACTGTAAGTCAACATACTGTAAAATGTAGTTCACATTTCTAAGAAAGCAACTGTTAGCTAGATTCTGTGGAGTGTCAAGTTATGCATAAAAGTCAAAAGATTACTCCGTGTCAACCCTAATCTAATCAATCTCTCCAAGCAGAATAATTAGAATGGGATAGTGTGTTTACAGAAAAGGCAACAATACATCATAGAAACCTCGGTGAAGAAGGGTAGGCATACAATGGAATATTACTCAGCTATAAGAAATGAAGGAGCTCTGATGGTGCGGTGGTTAAGGCATTCAGATGCTAACTAAAAGGTCAGTGGTTTGAACCCACCAACTGCCCCACAGGGGAAAGAAGAGTCAATCTGCTTTCATAAAAATTTACAGCATTGGAAACCCTATAAGACAGTTCTACTCAGTCCTACAGGGTTGCTATGAATTGGAATTGACTCAATGGTAGTGAGGTGTTTTTTTTTTTTTTTTGGTATAAAGAAAAATGAAGTCCTAATGCATGCCACAACATGGATGAACCCTGAAAACACTTTGTTGCGTGAAATAAGTCAGTCACAAAAGGACAAATACTCTATGATATTACTTATATGAAATAAGCAACTATACAGAAACCACAAATTATAGTGGTTGGGGTGGTGGTGGTTACTTAGAAGGTAATGAGTTTATGCTAATAGTGGTAGAATAATTAGGAAAAGGATAATGATAATGGTTGCACAAAATGAAGAATGTATCAGTGTTGCTGAATTATACATTTAGAAATTATTGACTTGGTGAATGTTTTGTTGTATATCCTCCAATAAAGAAAAAATAAAAGAGAGCATAGGAGTGATAAGGGCTTAAATCAACCATTTCTGATAGTATGATTGTACACAATCCACAGCGTATTTCCAAGCTTGGAAACTGGGGACAGTTATTTCAGGCCTGATTATCTCAAAAAAAAAAAGATTTGTGAGAAAAAAATCCCAAGGGAATGGGAATATGCTGAGCCAACTGAGACTATGTATTTGAAGGGTATTGGTTTTAATTAATTCTTCTTTTTTATTTTAATATTAATTCATTAACCAAGTTTTTTCACGTGTTTGAAGTTTCATCCATATTGTCTGGCAAAAAAAATCATGTATAATTTTCCTATCAATATACTAATACTCATATTCTACTCCTGCTCAATAACGAAGAAGCATGATGCTGGGAAGGTCCTGGCAGAGCAAACACACTGCTTTGGAAAGAAGACACCTACAAAGATGTGGGGAGAGAAGAACACAAGCCCAGCCAGCTCCAAATTAACAGCCAGCCAAGAGGTGCTACAGTTGTGATCTCTTCGGGTGCTGTGGCCTCTTCACAGGAAGAAGAGGCTGAGAGCTGTGGTTTGATTAGGCCTCACAAGGAAACTGGGCAGAACTCTCTGTCTGTATCACAGGTCTTCCAGATTGAGACCTCTGTATCAGGGAGTTCCCTAGCACCTTCAGGTGATACCAAAAGAGAGTGCTGCCCTCATCCCTGATGGGCCAGCCTGTAGACCCCATAAGGGAATGTGAAGGCACTAGTTGACAAAAAGCATATGTGGCAACATTTGCAGTGCTGGTCTTGCACCAGACCATGTGTACCAAATGCTTCCAGCTCCTTGTTCAAGAGCATCACAGAGGTGGTGCCTGCTTACACAGAGACCACAGAATGTCCCCCACTCTTACATCTACCCCCATTATCCCAGTAGCTCATTATCCCAGGTGTGACTTAATTCATACCTGAGATAAACAGCACAGGCTATGTATGACTAACAAGCTGTATTCCAAAGCCCCTGATCTCTACAAGGTCTCTCAGGCGCCGCCTGGAAAAAAAAAGTAGCCACCTTTAGAGTGCTTCTCAAACATCTGTGAGGACCAGGTTTTCCTCATTTCCAAACTGCTGCACACTGACACTTGCATAAAATACAATTAGAAATATCACAACAATCTCAAATTACACTAAGAATTTCTCAACACTCTTACTTTCAGTACCTACCTTAGTATGGAAGGACAAACTCACATGCCACCCTTTGAGTGGTACTGCTCTAGAGCACGAGTCAGCAAACTTATTTTAAAGCATCAGATAGTAAGCATTTTAGGCCTGTGGGAGATACAGTCTCTGTCACAACTAGTCAGCTCTGTCACTGCAGGGCAAAAACAGCCACAGACAATGTAGAGAAGAATGCATGTGGCTGTATTCTACTATATTTACAAAAACAGGTGGTTGGCCTGTGGACCACAGTTTGCTGACCCCTGCTCCAGAGGACTGGGGTGAACATTCTATACAGGTTTCACCATCCCTCTGCCCTGCCTCCATACTCTGAAGGGATGAAAAGCAAGTGGTAGACCTTGAAGCTTTCCAGGCCACTTGATCACTGTGAAATGTCTCAGTACAGGGCTGTTCTTCATGACCAGTTAGTTATAGCCCTTCCAATGCTCTCCTTGATGGTCAAAGCCAAACCTCAACTCTAAGCCATACACATACAATGCTGGAGAAGAGAATGATAAATTTGAAAGAAGGTTACAAACCAAATTCGAGAAAGGCGTATGGCCTGGAGGCTAGGCCAATGCAGGTGGTATCATAGGAAGCTGTGAATTCCCACCACAGCGTCTCCAAGAAGCAGAAGGCCATGGCTGCTGGACAATGGCGGGAACAGATTGCCATGCAGGCCACGTCCCCCGAAGAAGAAAAACTGAAACAAAAGGGCAAAATCTACATTACTGGGAACCAAAACCAAAAAGCCAGTTGCCATTCAGTAGATTTGAACTCATACCAACCCAACATGCTGCAGAAAAGAACCGTTCCCCTAAGATTTTCAAGCCTGTGACCTTCTGGAAGTAGGTCATCAAGCCTGTCTTCTGAGGCACTTCTGGGTGAGTTTGAACTAGCAACCTTTCAGGTAGTGGTCAAGTGCTTAACCATGTGTGCCACTCAGGGACCTCTACTAGGAACCAGACCCTATGTATTCCCATCCCACATTCATATACAACCTTGCAGCAGTTTGTGGCATATATACTGTATCTTCAGCTAGACCTATTCCTCAGATTGTACCTTTCTCACACTGCTTCTAAAATGTCTAGCACTATTAATCGCTGACAGTGTGCAATCACTCTTTGGTATCAAGGTTATGATTGCATCATAAAATGAATTTGGGAGGATTCCATCCTTTTCTGTTTCAGAAACAGTTTGAATAGGACTCATGTCAGTTCTTCTCTGAATATCTGGAAGAATTCTCCAGTGAAACCGTCTGGGCCAGGACTTTTTTTGTTGGTAATTTTTTCATGATCTGTTCAATTTAGTGTGTGATTACTCTTATTAATTCATGCATGAGGGATGCATGTCCCATTAGAGGGAATTAGCCTTAGACTTCTATGCATCTTCTCAAAACAATGTTTTTCTTCTTTAATATACATTGATAGGTTTTCTAATGTTAAATCATCTTGGCATCCTGAAAATAGGTTCCTTTTGGTTGTGAATTTATACATATTCATGCACACTTGTCTGCTGGATTTAGATGCTAATGTTTTATTTAAATCATGTCTATGCTAAGAAGATTGGCCTATAATTTTCCTTTCTTGTACTCTCTTCATCTGGTTGTGGTATCAAGGTTATTCTGGTCTGATACAATGAATATGGGGATTTTCTACTCCTTTCCAGACTGTTATGCTTTCACGTTCTGGAAGCTCTAGCTCTTCTATCTGTAGTGTCTACTGACTCCCTGCTGATTATGGATTATTTCCTATGTGCTTTGTCATTTTTCACTGAGAGTTTATCACTGTGGGGTTATTTCAAGAATCCTTCAAGGCCTGCACTGTGGTACATTTCTTCCATAGTGATTCTGCATTTGCTTTGGCCAACTACCCCAGGAGAGGCATCAGACTACGACCAACACTGATGCTGCTGACCCTCAGCTTGGGAATTCCTAGACTTCAGGGAATATAAACTCAAACTCTAACATTGTATGAGGCAAAGGATCAGGGTTTCAATTTCTTCAGTAAGATTTTATTCTTCCTTCCCATCCAAAGCCAAGTAGAGATGAGCTACCCTCATCTATTATCATTTCACTAGGGTTATATGATGCTGTTGTTGTGTGCTGTCAAGTTGGACCGAATTCACAGCGACCCCTCCTTGGGTTTCTGAGGTGGTATCTCTACAGAAGTAAATTGCCAACCTTCCTTCTGAGGAGTGGCTGGTGGGTTTGAACCGCCAGCCTTCTGGTTAGCAGTCAAGTGCCTTAGGCACTATGTTACCAGAGCTCCTGGGTTATATGATAGCTGACAAGAATCTTCTCCTTTATGCATGGGTCTGAGTCCCAAGACTCTACCCCAGTGCCATAGCATTACATATTTGCTATCCTGATTTACTATCTTGATATTCTGTTCCCCTTTCCAGTTTTTTTTTTTTAATTTTTTTATTGCAATTTGGGTGAAAGTTTACAGAGCAGATTGGTTTTCCATTCAATAATTCATACACATACTGATTTGTAACATTCATTGTAATCCCCACAATATCAACAGCATTCTTTCATTTCCTCCCTGTTTACCATTTTCATTCATCCTTCTTTCCTATTCCTTCCCGCCTTCTGAGCTTTATCCCTGGGCAAATGCTGCCTTTTCATCTCGCATGGTTGGTTGTTCTAGGGAGTATGTACATCCCTGATGTTACTGTTCACCTTACAGGCTTCTCTATTATTAGGCTCAAATACAGTAATTATAATAATTAGGGGGTAGCTTAAAAGGTTAAAGGGTGACTAAGGGCCACAGGTCTCGCGGGTTCTACCAGGCTCCATCAGACCAGTAAGCCTGGTCTTTTTTTAAAATTTATTTATGATTTTCTCCTATTCTATCTAGAACCTCCTATTGTGATCCCATTCAGAGTGGTTGGCAGTGTTAGCCAGGCACCATCTAGTTCTTCTGGTCTCAGGGTTATGGAGGCTGGGGTTCACGTGTTCCATTAGTCCTTTGGATTCATTGTGTCTATGAGTCTTTGATTTTCTTAACTCTTCTTTGCTCCAGGCAGAGAGAGACCAATAGATGGCTCATAAGCTTTTAAGACCTCTGTCACTATTTATAAAGGTAGGATGTAGAATACTGTCTTTTTGGACTATATTATGCCAATTGACCTTGATTTCCCCCTCCTCTTTTATTCTGGCACCTGGGGTTTCTTTCTTGTAAGCTCAGCTATACATTTAAAATAATTGTTGACATATATTTACCCACATTTCTAGGTGTTCCTGGCAAGAAAGTTTTTAGATTATATCAATCTACCATCTTTTTGTAACTACAAAGTCTGTACATAAAAACTTTTTCAATCAAAATAAAAAGATGACCCCCACTGCTTATAAAAAGAATTCTCCAGAAGGCTCTACATCTCTCTAGGATGGAGATAGTTCCATATGAAAGAGAAGTCCTCAATTATAAAATAAGCTATGGTACTGCTCACCTGTAAAAAAGGAAATCCTGTTATCCTCTGTGAAAATAAGATGAATATTTAATTCAAAACACAAATGAGTAGAGCATCTTTTCTGTGAAAACCCATCCTTGACAGAGCAGAGGTTTCCTATTTGAGGTATAGCACAAAGTCCCCATAGAATGCTAGTCAATGACAGCATAATGAGGAAGGGACCACCAAGGAAGGTGGCTTCTGACCCCCCGAAAAGGAGTTGTAAATATAGGCAGAGGCAGCTTAGCCTTTCCTCCTGAGCATTTAGCACCCCCCAATATGACAGCTGCCTGCATCTGCCACCAGGCCCCCTACAGACCATGGTCCTGCTCATCAGACAATGCTCCAGAGACTGGTGTCTAGCCTGGATGTCTACTTTTGGTGTTGTGATTCTGAGACTTAATTCCCTTAAAAGAGACCCAATTTATTAGGTCAACTAAACATTTACTGTGCAAGGAGAGAAAAAGAGAGACTTGATAAGGAAGGGCCTAAATACTGGAAGACAGATATAAAACCTGTAACACTAATATAAAAGCCATTTTGGTATTTTAAAGCCTACCTCACCACCAGCCCTGCCACAGAGTGGCCTGCTTCTTACTCTCCATCATCTTAGAACAGGAAATGATATAACACAGATCTTGGGGCCTGATCACCTGGGTTCAAATCCTGGCTCTACCATTTACTAATGGTATAACTGTAGGTAAGTCACTTAACCTCAGTTCCCTCCTCTATAAAACAGATGTAATACTATTACATACTTCACAAGCAACCTAAAGCACTTAGAATAATGCCTGGCACGTAGAAAGCACTCAATAGTATTAGCTATTCTTATTATGGTCATGGTGACCACTTGATCCCTACTTCTACTGGAGCACTTTCCCTACTGTATTCCATTCAGTTATATATTTCTTTTATAACCCATTAGGCTTTAAGCTCTTTGAGAAGAGAGACCTAGCCTTGTTTATTTTTCACTCCACTGTTCCTATCAACTAATAAATGCTGAAATAACTAAAAATCAAAAACTTGTGTGGTCCTTGACCTGTGCTTTCCAGGTCACCAGGAAGATCAGGTCTGAGCAGTTTGGTGGCCATGTCCTCACTTCCAGGAATATGGAGGTGAGTGGAAGGATTCTGAGCATCTAACTGAATGCTGGTAGCAAGGAAAGCAGAAGGCAAAGATGGAGTCGATGGAGTCTGTCCTCCTGAATAAGAGCTGTAAGCAAGCTCTTACTTTTTTTCCTTATTTTCTATGTTTTCTCATTCTCATCCTTTTCCTTCCCTATGTTATAATCCAAAATTTACTCTTGCCTCATTTTTTCCCACCTCTCTGCATCTTAGTGGGGAACTAAAGGCATGAAAATTGCTTGAACTTGGGTTTCCCCATGCTCATGGGCAGAGTCAGAGCAGCAATGCACAAGGTTCTGGGAAACACTTCTTCCTTGATTCTGCTGTAAACACCCACAACCTCAGACCACTATCTGATGCCAGATCTACTTTCAGCACACAATGTGATAAGCATGTGAGCTCTGGTGGCGTAGTACCTAAGGCATCTGATTGCTAATCAGAAGGCTGGTGGTTCAAATCCACCACCCACTCCTCAGAAGGAAGATTGGGCAGTCTACTTCCATACTGCTTCGGAAATCCAAGGAGGGGTCACTATGAGTCAGATCTGACTCCGTGGCAGTGAATTTGTTTTTTGTTTGGTGATAAGCATAATGTTACCTCAACCTGTGGTTAAAAGTAATGCAAATTTTGCTAATGTTCGGGAAAAGTGAGTATGTTTGCTTACTGGATACTGAGGTCACGTCCTTCTGCAGAACCTCGACCTGGATACTGGGCCAGCCGCAAGGCTAATGTCTTGAGCCATCTCCTGCATTCCAGAAAATCTTGAGTATGGTGAAAGTCAGTGGAGGCCGAGAGGGGCAGTCCATCTCTCACCCGTACCACACATGCAAAAAGGATCATAGACATGGTCCACAAGAGAAGTCATGAGGACACCTGAGGGAAAGAAAGACACCTTATTACTGAGGGCCAGGTCAGGATGCTACAGACACACTCCCGAAAAGTTGATTCTGGGCTGTCCAACTGCCAACCCCACCACAACTGCAAATGCTGCTTTTATGATTATTTCCCTGTCTTCTACTGCTTTGTCACTCCCACTTTCTTCTCTCATTATCCTAATGGTTTCTTCTTCACTCTCTCTAATGAATCTCTCTCTCTCTAGAACTAAGCCAACCAAGATGAAGGAGAAAGGAATAGAGACGCAAGGGAAGCAGGACCAGAAGGGCTCAGGAAAAACAGCAGCAACCAAACTAAGAACACAGGTTGCAAGACAGCCATAAAGGGACAGGAAGTGCCTCACATTGAAGCAGCAGGGGCTTGAGTAAAGCTCACCCAAGATCATAGTAGCTTTATTTTTTAAATTGTGCTTTGGGTGAAAGTTTACAGAGCAAATTCATTTTCCATACAACAGTTCATACACATTTTGTTTCATGACATTGATTGCAAACCCCATAATGTAACAGCTCTCTTCCCATGTCCTCCCTGTGGTTATCTTTTCCCTGTGTCCTTCATTCCCATGCATTTCTGCCCTCTGAGCTATCTCCTTGTACAAATACTGCCCTTCTGATCTCCCATCATTGATTGTTCTAAGCAATGTACCTACCTGATGTAAATGTTCACCTTATATGCCTGTCTACTGTCTGGCTGGAAGCCATGGGAGTGAGTTTGATTCCAGGCCCAAAGGGTGACTAGGGACCATAGTCTCAGGGATTTCATCGGTCTCTATCAGAGCAGTAAGCCTGGTCTTTTTTAAGATTTTGAGTTTTGTTCCATGTTTTTCTCTGACTCTATCCAGGATCTCCTATTTTGATCCCTTTCCGAGTAGCTGACAGTGGTAGCCGTGTACCATCTAGTACTTCTGGTCTCACAATCAGGTAGGCTGAGGTTCCCATGGTCTATTAGTCCCTTGGGCCAATTGTTTCCATGTGTCTTTGGTTTTCTTCATTCTTTTTTTTCCGGATATTGTTGTTGTTGTTATTGTGTGTCATCGAATCGGCCTCGACTCATAGCCACCCCTCCTTGGGTTTCCAAGGCAGTATCACTACAAAAGTAGGATTGCCCAACCTTCCTTCCGAGGAGTGGCTGGTGGTTGTTACGGATGAGGAGACACCAATTCTCGCATCTTAGATGGCTGCTTGCAAGCTTTTAAGGCCCTGGTCGTTATTCACCAAAGAAAGATCAGGGCATGTCCTCACTTCCTGGGAGATGGAGGAGAGTGCAGAGATTCTGAGCATCTAACTGAATGCCAGTGGCAAGGAGACCAGAAAGCAAAGATGGGATCAACAGAATATGGCCTGAATTTCTGCAAATGTTTGATACAAAGCCAGTCTTCAAAATGATGACTGAGTTCCTACAGATGGCTAAAGTAAGCCATTCAGCAAATTATATTACAGGAAGATACTAAATATTTGGCCATGATATGTGAGCATCATTAAAAACAAAAGGAAACAAACTGGGGCCCCATTATGCCTTGGCAATTAGAAAATGGTACCTCTCTGGGTCAACACAGCCCTGCAGCAGCTCAGCTAGCACAGCACTGGCTGGGTTTCAGCACCATCTGTTAAACTCAGCAAGAAGCTCTGGTAGTGCAATGCCTAAGGCATTTGACTGCTAACTAGAAGGTTGGCAGTTCAAATCCACCTACCATTCTGTGGAACAAAGATGGGGCAATTTACTTCTGTAAAGATTTATAGCCTCAGAACTCCAATGGGGGTTGCTATGAGTCGGCATCAACTCAACAGCAGTGGTTTTGTTTTTTTTTTCCAGTTGTAAACTCTGCAAGATGCTCGTGTAGAGCATGTACAACTGTACATGGCAGTCCTGTGACTAGTGATTAGTGAAGCAGCCATTTTCAGCTCTAATGAGTCTTTCTCCATGTATTCACACTCCTATTTCACAGATCCTATCTGTCAGGTCCTTTACTTGATAGGGTGTTAATAGGTTGACCATCACATTGGTGAACATTTCTTCCAAAGTATTGTAGGGATATAACCTTATTCATAATACCAACTCTTTTGAGCAGGAGGAATGGGCACCCCCTGGGGGACACACTGCTCTTTTCATCTCTGTGCCTCTGCATACCTGCCTACAGTGCCCTTTCCCAGACCTCCCCAATCCAAATCCTATCTCTGCCTGCATTATTCTCTATGAAACCTTCCTAGACTTGCCCAGCTGGAAGTACTTCCTTCTTCTTTCAAGTTCCCAGAGAATTTGCCTCTTTGTTCTCTATTTTAGTGACTTAGCATTTCTACTACTTAAGTGTAAATACTGAGAATAAAGACCATACCTGGAATGAATAAGTAATTATTCCCATATTACACATGTAGGAACTGTGATGGTATAAGAATGCGGAAAAGGCAAAGAGAAATATTAATCTATCAGTCAACAGACTTCATACAGTCCATCCCCCTACGCTTTTATTTGGGGAGTAAACTGTGAAAAGCCTTAGGAAAAATACAGAAACATTCTGATTGTCTCTAACCATGCATGTGCACCTCCTCGGTTCACCCACTCCTAGTAACGATAAAAACGCTTCCTAAAAGTTTTCATTCCTATTTCCAAAAGCCATTATACTTTATGAGCCACCCAAAGTATATGTAGTATATTTTTAAATGTCAAACTAATAAAATAGCTTGAGAAGTATTAAAGCTATTTTTTAGAAAATCACACCTTCTACTTCCTTTAAGTTTTATAGCTTCCCTGCAAAGTGAGAACCTGATGAGACTCTCATGTTCCAGGGTGGACACTCCTTCTGGCCCATGCAGCTGGTAAATTCCAATCAGACAGCACAACTGGCCCCTGACTTCTGTATCCCCAACCATACCCTTGCCATCCAATCAACACTGCCACCAAGGATACCTACCTCACTGAGCTTATTCCCCTCTTATAAGCCCCCTCCTTCATACACATGTACCTGCAGGTGCACATCCACACACAGAGACCACTAAGTTCCCAGCACTACTAGCAGGGCCAGGCCAAAGGCCAGAGGCACTGTGGGTTGTAAAGCAGCCACTCTGGATTTCTAGCACCAGAAAGGGGATCAGCTGGTGGGTATATGGAAGTCAACAGCACTACCTTCCATATTTTTGTGACTTTTTAAAATACACAATTTGAAAGCAACTTTTAAAGAGTTACAGGGGACAAAACCCTAACTGAGATAAGTGCAGACTACAAGATCAATTTGAGACCAAGGGTTGGAATCTACACAATCACTCCAAAAAGAGCTTTAAACCAAAATATACAGAACTAAGGCCAAAAGAAAAAGATAGTGAATCAGTGAGACATCCAGAGAGTCAAAGACTAGACAGAAACCCCACAAAGTAAAATAAGACGTTTGGGGGAAGGGGTGGGTCTAAGTAAACTTTATGCTCTTCTAAGGGAAAGCAGTATGCATTTATTCCACTGTCAGTGCCAAAACATCTTCAATTGGCTGCAATCAGCTCCTGAACAAACACAGGAATCTAGTACTATCTTGCTGGACCATCTATTAGGTGCCAGGTATTGTGCTAAAAAGGAAATTGGTAATGTTTCCAAGTGGCAGCAATTTTTAGAAACAGTCCTGCCACTCTCTCAAGGATCTAGAAGTTCGCTCCTGGTTTTCTACTTCAACCATCACACCGTTTGGTAATCAAATCTACTTTTCCTCAAACATTAACATTCAAAATAAATAAAACTCTTACTATTCTCAGTTCTATCAAATTACTACTACTGCAAACCAGTGAAATCCATACCCATGTAAAAAATATTTATGATGCTTAACTGAAGGCTACGATATTAACTGTTGCTTGAGTTACAATTCAACCAATATGAAATAAATAAATAATTTAAATAATCCTGTAACTAAATGTCTTTCATTATAAATTTCATAATATAAAAACTCCCAGAAAGGAAGTCTCCAGACCAGATGGTTTCACTGGCAAAATCCACCAAGTATTTTAAAACACAATTAGTACACACACAAAAGAAGAATTAGCACCATTTCTACACGATGTCTTTCAGATAATAGGAGAGGAGGGAGCAAGTATTAGCTTGATACCAAAACCAGACAAAGACAATACCAAACAAGAAAACTGTGGACTAATATCCCCCATGAACTTAAGTGCAAAATTCCTTAATTATTAATAAATAGAATTCGGCAATATTAGACACTATGGCCATGTAGAATTTATTCCAGAGATACAAGAATAGAGAATTAAAAACTTGAGCTATACAAGTATGGCCAACTGATTTTTGGCAAAAGTGCAAAAGCAATTCAATGGAGGAAAAAGAGTTTTTAAAAAAAACAAATGGTTCTGGAGCAACTGGATATACCAAAAAAATTAAAAACTTACCCTAAATTTCACAACTCACATAAACACTCAAAATACATCATGGATTTCATATAAAAAGTAACATTATAAAGCTGTAAATCTTTAGGAAAGCGGACTGACACATCTTTCTCCCACAGAGCAGCTGGTGGATTCGAATCACTGACCTTTTGGTTAGCAGTTGAACGCCTTAACCACTGCACCACAAAAGCTCCCTACATATTTGATAAGGAACTCCTATCTTGATAAAGAATTTTCAAAACTCAACCAGAAAAAATAATAACAAACTATCCAATTAGAAAATAGGTAAGAGGAGAGAGAGTTCATTGAAGAGGATACACAAATGACAAATAAGCAAATGAAAAGATGCTCAACATCACTAGCTATTTAGGGAAATGCAAATTAAGCCACAATGAGTATTTCTACATACCTATCAGAACAGCTGAAATTAAAAACAGTGACAATATCAAATGTTGGCAAGTATACGGAGAAACTGAATCTCACATTACTGGTGAGAATGTAAAATGGTACAGCTACTGTGGAAAACAGTTTGTCAGTTTCTCAAAAACTAACCATGCCCTTTACTGTACAATCAATCAACAG